TATAAGTGAGGAAACATATTAGAAATTTGAGAAGGGCATCATCAAATTCAGGGCATGTACAAGGTGTCCGGTGTCACCTGACAGTTGAACAGTTTAGTGTACTAGAGCAAAGTTAACACATTAGAACAACTCTGTGAACTTGTCACTGCAGCATCAGATGAAATCCGAAATTATCCGGATAATAATAATAATAGCATAATAAAAATGATAGCAATAGCGACACATCATAATTTTCTACGCCGCTGTCAACTTCTGCTAAACCTAGAAAAGACTGAATTAATGAATTTTACACTTAAGGAAAAGTAATTAAACAAAACAATTCGATTTCTTGGTGTATATTTAGATCTACACTTTTTCTTTTGAGAAAAATTGCAGATTTAGCAAATTCTGAAATATCCAGAACTGCCTATATGGGTCTCTTTCAATCCAAGATGGTCTGTTATATTGGGGAAACTCAGCTGACTGGAAAAAGATCCTTACTATTCAAAAAAAATCTATTCGAATTATAAGTAAAAAAACCAGAACACTCCTGTAGAAACTTTTTTAAGGAAATTGAATATACCCCCTTTAGTGGGTATTTATATATATCAGTGCCTAATCTATACAAAAACTCATATATCTGAATTTATCTTAGTAAATTCCAGACATGGCTATTGCACCAGATTTGGTGATCAACTATTAAACAATTTTTTAAATAACTAGGTTTATTATTTTATTCAACTTCCTACCAACAGAAGTAAAAACTCTACCTATTTTAACCTTATATATATAAAAAGAATTAAAAACAAAATTTTGGAGATGTCCATACACTATTGATGAATTTTTAAATACTGATGAATTTTTAAATAGATAAATGAACACTTCTAAGTTTTAGTAAATTTGTATTAACTGTAACTGTAATTATAATTGTTATTATTGGGATTGGGATTTTTATTTTAAATAAGAACTTTCTACCTATGCAATTTTTAAAATTGTATTTTCCCTTAAGGGATTAAAGGATGACAACCTATTTGGTGACACCCTGTATTTGTAGCTAACATTTTTCTCGATTAACCACCTTTCTGGTGGACCACCAGCATCAACTGATGAACTTTTTTCATAAATTAGCATTTCATTTTAATGTTTTTCCACCAATTTTACATGATTTATTTTTAATGCTTTGACATTATAAACATATGCTTAGACACAACCAAATTGAATTTAATTATAGTCGTGTAAAACACTTTAACTCAATCTTATTTTCTTAAATTATATATGTTTTACTCAAAAGCGTGGAAGAAAATGCGTTTATAATCGACTTAACTGTAGTTTATTTTAATCTGTCGGCGTTTTTTGAAGGTTTTTCTGTTAAAAATGATACCCCTTCAACGTTTTTACCCTTTAATATTGTGTTTATGTACCCTTCGCATCAGGGTGGTATTTCGACTGATGGGTTTTAAATTAAATTATACACAGGAAGGTGAGATAATAATTGTCAAGTTTTACACCTGCCTAAGTTGGGGGTAGAAAATTGATTATTAAAAAAATAATTTTATAAATGATATGGCAATTTCGTAATACAATATAAAAAGTTAAGCACCATAAAATGGGATGAAAATAATTTTATTATGTGGACAATTTCTCATGGTTTAAGTGTTTTATGTTAATATTGAGAAGAATGGTTAGAATATAGTTAAATTTGTCACAGTATTTCGTCTTCAAACAAAAATACCGACTATAACTAATTTTACTACATAACAGGCCCAATGTAAAGCATTAATTTTTATTGTTCCTTGCAGTAAAATTACAGTACATCATTGTACTATTTAAATGATTTATTTTGATTTTAATTTAAAATAAATCGAGCCAACTAGCCAACAAACCATTATCAATGCAACGTGGTCTTAGCGAGTCAGAGAATTATCCTACTCGGTTACCAAGGTGGTTGCTTTGTAAATAAGAGTTCTGATTGGTTTAATAACAGTAACGTAAATTACCATGGATAGCTTATCTTTACTTCCACATTTTTACTCATCGTAATTTTGATTGTCCTGGTTTAAAAATGATGACAACACAAAATGATCTACTTCTTTGATTTCACCACTACATTTATAATTTCTTTAATATCCTGTACAATATTAATAATTGCAGTCCAAAACTAAATTTTAATTAACCGTATAAGATCTTAATTTAAATTTTTAGAGGTAGCTAATTCATGTTTATTTTTAATTATTTTGGATGATCATTAACCATTTCCAAATCCCATTAATAAAGAGGTTTCATATTTTTGGTGCAATTACTTCATAAGCAAGGCAAATCATAGAGTGTTTAGGTTATTATTAAAATAAAACATCTTTATTCGCGTGTGGGCTAATTTTGGTAATACCCTAAAGCAATTCAGTGCTACCAATCGCCGGTCAATTTAGTAATCCCAAGAGAGAGTTCGAAGCACACTATGTAATAATATTATTAATGATATCGCCAAATCATTGTATTTGGTTGGTTGGAACGCTGCGCGCCGTCTACTGGCAGGTGTGACTAATTTCATACCTTTGTGGTGACTTGCCGACATCCGACCAAACAAGTTTTTAGTTCAAAACCATCTCGGAATATTCCTTCGACTCCACTGGTGGACTAAGCGGTCTTCACCTACAGCGTAGAGTCTATAACTTAATGTTTTACACTGCTAATCTCCTACTTAATATTGAATTTTTTACAGATTCTTCGAATATCTGAGACCGTTTTGTCCATCTTTAATTATATAGATGTCTTACATTAGTTCGGAACGTCGAATTCACACGCTTTGATTTTTAGAACCGTTTTGACAGGCTCGTATTGGGAAAAATGCCAAGCATTATCTATTTATCTATTTTCTTCGCACTTTTTAAAACGGTACAATGGAGAATTCAATCTATCGATTTGCGTGGGAATATTGGTTAATAGAGATGTCCAATATGGTTTCTTTTAAAGGTTGTTGTAGACAATGATGTTTGTTGAATGAAAGGGACTTTTGATTAAAAATACCAAAGCTATGGAAATTAAAAACCTTTCTTTAATTCATGGTTTGTCGCCACCGATGCATCGGTGGTCTAAATTTTATACAGCTACAAGCAAAAATAATCACAAGCTTCAGCTGCTTCTTTTTTTTCTTTTGTAATCTTAATATTAAATCCCATAAATCACAATGAAAACATAACAATCAAAAGATTGTATTGCTAATAAACATTCATAATAACTTTCCGCACTTGCACAAGTAAATGAAACAAATGCCCCAACGTTATCCGCTACATTAACACGGGATTATTTGGCAAATTTTATCACCCCTCCTGATGATTTCTGGACCATTAATACGTATTAACTCAACATATTGTCGCCACCCTAGTTTTAATACTTGGCAGTGATTTGGTCCCCTTTAATTGTTTTACTTATGTTTTAACACTCCAAATGTATGGAGAGAGATACAACGGCTTTAAAGCATATCTGATCACAAAGATAATAAGATTGTTTGATGAAGATAAGTTGATGTGGCAATAAGCTAAAATACTGGCGAGATGAAATATTAAGAAGCTATATTAAAGACAATCTAAAATGACATCCAGTTATTATTGGTATCTTAGCTTATATAACTTTGGCTTATCTTCATCTTATTATTATTATTATTATTATTAGAATAGGGATCCATTTCTGGTCCCTGTCTGGGTCACACAATCTCTTCTAAGCCCTTTGTGATTCCCTGTATTTGCTCCTCCTAGTACCAGTCCTCTTCAAGAAGCCAAGGATTGTCTTTAATAATAATAATAATAATACTTTATTTATGCTTAAAAACAATACAAAATTGTGTGCACAAGTCGGGAACATAAATTGATAAATATATAATTATCAACTACACTAATTATAAATAAAAGAATAAATACAAGAAAATTCGTTGCATAATAAAATAAAGAATACAACAAATATAAACAAGCAAATAAAAGATTAAAAAAAAAATACAATTAAAAAACATTAATAATCAAAATACTACATGGCAATACATTACATTACTATCACAATATTCCAAAAACTCTTTCGTGCTATAAAAACAATGCTCTAACAAAAACAATTTCAAAGAAGATTTCAATTTTTTCAGAGAATATTTTTTCCAACTAGGTGGAATCTTGTTGTAAAATATCACCGATTGGTATTTAAAAGACTGCTGCATTTTAGAAAGCCTGCATTTTGGCAGAGCTATCAAGCCTCTATTCCTAGTATCATGACTATGATGATCCCCCTAGCACTGATAGTCCTCAGAATGAGCATACAAGATACAGTCCAAGATATACTGACCACTAAGGGTCAAAATCTTCAGATCTTTAAAAATTGGCCTACAGTGATCAGTATATCCAGCACCATAAATAGTTCTCACAGCTTGCTTCTGCAAAAGGAAAACTTTGTAGGCATTAGAAGAATTTCCCCATGCCAAAGTAGCATAAGATAAATGGCTATGAAAAACAGCAAAATATGTCATTCTGAGGACACTTCTCGATAATAGACTACGAAGTTGTCTGAGCAAATAGATGCTTTTTGACAACTTACTTAGTAAACTTAAAACATGTGCCTTAAAGTCCATTCTGCTATCCAGGTATATTCCCAAATATTTAATTGAAAGCTGATTATTAAAAGAAGGTTGTAAAGTAAAATACATGCTTTGGGTTTTCTCCTCATTTAAAAGCAAACCATTATCAGCAAACTAAAGTTTGGCATCACTTGCTGCAGTCAAGGAATCCTCTTCAAGACAAGCTTCATCCTTGCTTTTACATAAAATTGTTGTATCGTCCGCATACATAAAAACGGAAGCATTGTTTACAACAAAGTCATTCATAAAAATTATAAATAGTAAAGGCCCAAGAACAGATCTAAAGTCACTGCTCCCTATCCTTATTTTAGCTTCTCGTAATATTTTTGTTACTTCTCCCTATCTTGATAAATAATATCTATATAAACAGTGTTATTTTTCAAACTAATTATTGTTTCTTTCTTTCCAGACGGTCAAAACCACCTGAACCTCTTCAACAACCGGCAGCAACCAAAGAAAAAGCGGAAATCCCGTACAGCCTTCACGAACCACCAGATCTTCGAGCTGGAAAAACGTTTTCTATACCAAAAATACCTGAGTCCGGCCGATAGAGACGAAATCGCATCGAGTTTGGGCCTGACGAACGCGCAAGTGATAACGTGGTTCCAGAACAGGCGAGCGAAGTTAAAACGCGACATGGAGGAACTGAAAAAGGACGTGGAAAGTGCGAAAATTTTAACGGCGACTAAGAGTTTTTTAGAGAATGTGCAAGACTTGGGTATGTTAAAGAAAAAAGCCATGATAAGTGACGATTGTCCGAAAAATTTAGTGATGAACCAGGACAAATAAAACCATGTGAATTATCATCTTAAGTTAAGTTTTCAGTCACAAACATTCAATGTTTAAAAATGTGTTTTTTTTTAATTTAAGATGGTGATTTTTAGGATAATTACATAAGCTGTTTTGTCGAGAATATCGTCTAAATTTCATTTAATCAGTTAGTATCAAATAGGCTGTGACCAAACAGGATAAAATATCAAATTTTGCATCAGTTAAAAGTTTCACTCACTTTTGTTTTCCTTCATTTCAAGAACAAAAGTGAATGAAACTTATAAATCAAATACAATATAATCTTGATGAAAACAGCAAAAAACTAATTTTGTACAAATCTTACTATTACCTACTAAATATTCTTGGTTGTAAATCTGTCATAGAATGATTTTAATTGTAAAAATATTGTTAATGTTTTTGTATGTACATATTGTAAATAATTACGTATAGAGAATGTCCTGTAAAAGTTGTAATATATTCGTAAAATTTATTATTAATTATTTATTATTTTTTTCGTCTATCTTTGACGGGTCTTTGCAATATTTTAAATACTGTATCATATTATATAAAGCTTTAGTACTTAAATTTGTGCCTAGAGTCGATGTGAATGAAAATAAAATATTAAAAAAAAATTGTGTTTCATTTTTAACAACTAGGGTATAATAAAAACATATTTTGAAGAAAAAACATAGTACTGCAGTCAATCAGTACGTAATTTTTTACTTGAGCCAGACGTAATTAAATAATATAGTTTAATTTTATATTATTAGAATTAATTACATATTTTTTACTATGGTTAAATAATTATTAATTATTAATGCAGCTTATAAATAAAGGCCTTGAGTAAGATGCTTAAGTACCTAGTATTGTGCACCACAAGGTTCGATGTTGGGACCAGTTTAACTTGGACATCTCATAAAAGATTCTGTATCATATTAAAACGAAATATTGTAATTGACAACGATTTTAATTAAACGTAATTATAGATTTTCATTGCGTGATCTTTAAATATGAATTTACTTCAAAGGCTTCAAATTTATTATCTTCATCATAATAAATTTATAGGTTTACATTAAAAATATGCCATAGACCATAAACACTAATAAACAATTGGTATTTAAGTTTTTGCGGTGAAAGAATTTTATTGAATTTTATTACCGGCCGTAAATGTCAATTTTGTAAAATTGTACATACACATGTATGTACGTGCATTGAAGTACGCGTTACAAAATTAGTTCGTAGTCGGGGCAATCAAATATGTAATTCGAGCAGACAAGCGGAAATGACATTTAAAAATTAAACATATGTTCACGATGCGTTTTTATTTTTATGCAGTTTCATTTAAATGTGAACCCAGTAATGTTTTTGCTCGGTACTTATCCTATAAGGATTCAATGTTTAATTATTTTATGATATAAATACTATAATAATAATATTTATTGATCACAGAGTTTTACAGCATTTAATTCCATAAAACATCATCTGTTAAAGAATAGTTTTCTCATTTATATTTGTATTTAAATTTAAAACATTTACAAATATCAAAAATAAAAGTGGCCCCAATAACGATCCTTGAGGTACTCCCAATGATTCTTTGGATATATCTGATTTTTCACCATTAATAGATACCACTTGGGTTCTATCCAATAGATATGATTCTATCCATTTATTTGTAACATCTCTAACTCCTATACTTTCAAGTATATTTAATATTAATTTGTGATATATAAACTATATATACTTTTTTTTCGGACGAGATTTTGTGTTTAATTTTAAAAAACTCGGCAACGCTGTGCTGAACAGGACACATCTTAAAAAGATTCTTATGGAAACAAAATAAACAAGGCATCTATTACCTAGCTAGCTGAAGTAAACATGATTAACCTTACTTCAGGGCCTGAAGTTCAGGCTGTAGAAGGGAGGGGATTGGTCAATTTGGTAACGAAGTGTGGCGAGGGGAAGTGGGGGTCATTAGCTACGTGACGTCACGACTACAAAATAAATTTAAAAATAAATCAATTTTAAAAACCTTGCAACACCTATTGTTGGTAACAATGCAATCTAGTATACTATCAATTAACAAACGGTCTAAAATAAATAAAATCACGCAATATGCATGTGATACACGAAAAACTCAAACGAAAACATTGAACAGGGGTGGAATTAACGCTAAAGATATCCAAACAATATTCATTTGACAAAATATTTAATATGAAAATATTCCTATACTAAAATATTAAGAGGATGATATATTAATGAAAAATAAAAAAAATATCCTACTTAATTAAAATCATTAACTTAAGGTTCTTAAAGTGCTGTCAGTATACTGATATATCTTTATCATCATCCGCAGTATTAAAGATAAGTGGTTCTACTTGAACCTCAGCAAATTTTAAAGTTCTATCACGCTAAGCTACTCTAAATTATGTACTTTTCGAATTTGCACTTTTGTTGTTTTTCAATTGGCAAAAGTTGAACTTTTAGGATAGATTCCCTAAAGTTTTGAATATCCCCTTTTTTGTGGCACTTGATGGTATCTTTTCTGGTTTTAGGAAGTAATTTGTTCATTGGATTTTAGCTCAGAGAAACTAGCACTTCTTCTGTACTCCCTTATTACTTTAAAGTACTCAAACTCACCTCTTTCATCTCCATGTTTTTTTACCGTTTCCTAGCTGGACTAAATTCACATCTTCTTGCTGTATTAGTACTAGGCATTGCAATAACAACAGTAACAACAAACAATAACAACAAATTCACTATACATAATAATATGTTATTTCTAACTGATTGAATTGAATTGAGACTCATGACTTTATAGAAAGAATCCTAGAGGTATAAAAATTAAGTGCAGTTGCAACTAAAAGCAACACCATGGTGCTTACCTTTTAACTAATTTGTTTAGTTAAGTTTAAATAATCTTTTACAATCCGGTATTACAATAATGTTACCCAAAATTTACCAAGCTTTTCATAAAATTCTGGAAAAAATTGGCAAATCTTTTTAAAGAAAATATTAATTTGACAGATGATCTAAACTCCAATTAGAAGACCCTTTTGGGTTTCACACCGCAGAAAATTAAAGAACATCACACTGCAAAATTAACCAGAACCTAGTTTGAGCTACAGAACTGGAATTGATATTGTCTATATGTGGTTATGGGTAAAATATTCTAATATAAGTAAAACCTTGAAAATATGCATTTATATTTAAAAAGGTATATACAGTGTGTATTAAAACGAATAGATACACTTAAATAAAACAAGTGCCAAACCACGCCCACTGTGGTAGGGATTGAATTTGTATCATTGTCGTATGATCTGTGCGCAGTGTTGCCAGCGTCAGTACGTTTGTACCGAATTCAGTACTTTCGAATTAAAAAAAGTAAGCAAGTACCTCGTTGATGGTTTTCGGTACGTTTTCCAGTTTTAGATTTGTTTCCCTTTATTTAGAAGAAGAAATTAAAAGTTAAGGTTGGTGATACTGAGTTATTTTAGTATCCTGGTATTTTAAGTTTTAAACTGTTGGTAGCGCGCGTTGTCTACTTAGTGTTGACATAAGGATTGTTCCAAGTTCGCCAAGAACCGCTTATAGGAATAATAGGAATTATTGAAGCCAAATACCTCAATCTTTGTTAAAAAAGAAAATTAATTATCGATAGGTTGACTATTTTTTAATTTTACCAACAATATTGTTTTTTTGTATAGGTATAATAATAATTATCTATTTTGTTCTTTTGATGTTTATAGTTTATTTATGCATGTGTTTATTGATAAATTACAAAATAAAATTACGTTCATATAAGTTTAATATTTATTTCTCAAAGTCAGTACGTTATCTTTTAAATTCAATACGTTTTTATTGCCATTTCAGTACTTTAATTTTTCTACTACTGGCAACACTGTCTGTGCGTCAGTTTAAGAAGTGCACTGAGACTTTGCGTACGTCTTTGTAAGAATAAAAAAGTATTTTCTCAAATAAAATGGTTTTTACCCGTGAGGAAAAATACCAAATTATGGTATCGCCGTATCGCCAAATACAAACTTTATTTCAAAATATGTTTCAAAATAGGCCTTTACCCAGTGTAGCTACAATCCGCGGCATGCCGCGCTGTTGCCATATGCTATTATTATTTCCTAAAAGGGTTGTTTTTCTTATTTTTTAATATTAAAAGTAAGAAAATTATCTAAATCAAATTATTTTTGACATAATATTAATTTTTTTGTTATTTTTAAAGTTTCAAATAAATAAAATTGAACTATTTATTAAATAATTATAATCGTACTCTTCTGATTTAAAACAACCTGGCAACTATGGTTCGTAATTACGAATGGCTTGGTTTAAACCACGCCCAATTAAAGTTTGTTTCTTTTCCTCTGATCAGAATATAATTTGTCATCCTTGTCTCCAGCCTTACTTACTTGATTCTATACAGTCTGTATACTTTTATCAGTGGCGGCTGGTGGATTTTGGGCACACCCATATCTCAGTTATTAGACATGGAACCCACATCAAATTAATATGAGTTTATAATGACATTATATAGACAAGTTCTGCGCAAGCAGAATTTAAATTGAAGTTTTGCCTTCTGCCCCACCATATTAAGATAATTCAAATTAAAGTGGTACAATATTTAAGTCACTGAAGTTTATCGACAAATTTCAAATTTTATTAAAAAAATTCAAGTATTACAGATTTTATACCATTTCATTTTTTTTTTAATTTAAATTAAAAAAAAAATGAAATGGTATAAAATCTGTAATACTTGAATTTTTGAAGTTTATTGACAAATTTAAAATTTTATTAAAAAAATTCAAGAATTACAGGTTTTATACCATTTTAAATTTTTATTATTTCTTTTACTAAATAGTAAAAGAAATAATAAAAATTTAAAATGGTATAAAACCTGTAATTCTTGAATTTTTTTAATAAAATTTTAAATTTGTCAATAAACTTCAGTGAATTAAATATTGTACCACTTTAATTTGAATTATCTTAATTTGGGGGGCACACTTAAAAACTAACTTTTTTTCGCAAAGAAATAATAAAAATTTAAAATGGTATAAAACCTGTAATTCTTGAATTTTTTTAATAAAATTTTAAATTTGTCAATAAACTTCAGTGAATTAAATATTGTACCACTTTAATTTGAATTATCTTAATTTGGGGGGGGCACACTTAAAAACTAACTTTTTTTCGCAAACTTCAATTTAAATTCTGCTTGCGCCGAACTTGTCTATATAATGTCATTATAAACTTATATAAATTTGATGTGGGTCCCATGTCTAATAACTGAGATATTACAGGTTTTATACCATTTTAAATTTTTATTATTTCTTTTACTAAATAGTAAAAGAAATAATAA